AACAAAGATACAAGGTAAAAATGTCTACCACATAATAATTACTCATCAAACATCACCCAAGAGCATGTTATTATAATCAAAATTCAACAAATCAATTATTTCATATAAAATCCAAAATATACACATGATAGCTTAAAGGCACAAAATCAAAAATTAGAGTAAGGTAAGTGTGTTTATGAACACTAACCTTCAAAACAAGCTTTAGAAAGCTTTAATCAAAGCTCCTGAACCTTTGGTTTTGCCCTTATCTCTGTTAGAAGGCTCTCCACCCTCTACATGGAAGAAACTCAAAATCAAACAAAGAAAACAAATAAAAGAAGAAATTGGAGCATGATTAAGCATGTATATAAAAAGAAAACTCTAAACCCAAAAATAATTGAGATTATCATAAATCACTTGCTTGACCCAAGTAGAAAAATCTTTCCAAAATTTTGAAATTAGTCACCAAAATCACTTCTCTAAGCTTCACTCTCTAAGATTCAATTATTAAATTCAAGTTGGATGGGGTGAAATTTGATGTGTTTAGTAAGTAAGAATTGAAAGAAAATGAAGGAGGAGTGAAGAAAGAAGAAGAAGAAGACGTTGTTAGGAAAAGAAGAAGAAAGAAAAATGGTTGCTCAATAAATTGATGGTGACTTATATAAAGCAACAGGGTTATTTTGGTCTTCTTCCCCAAATTGGGATGGCTAGGATAAGTCACTAGTAATCTAATTAATGGCTACAAATATTCCCCAATTAAATTCTTTCAAAATATTATTTATCTCCACAAATATATATAGAAGTGCTATCGTGTTGTTATTGGAGTTTTGATGGGGTTTTTTTGGAGTTTTAAATTTGGGGAGTGCTTTGTAATTCACACGTTTGGTGCCTTCTATTTTTTTAGGGGAAAACTCTTGCAGTTTTTCTTGAAGTTTTCTCCCAAATTCATTTCAAAAAAAAAAAAAAAATTTTACTTGCTAACTTGTGAATACTAAGTCACTTATAATTGTCTTTTAATATGATGATATTGAATTTGATTTATATGTAGGTTAGGACGGTGCCTCCGGCACCAAATGCGGCATCCGCCGTCGGGTCTCTCGGGATTGGGCGGCGGGTGTTACAAATCATCTTTTTGTATATGAAACATGAGAATCATTAGTTTAATTAGATTCTACCCAAATGCATGAAAACTTAAAGTTTTCTTTTTTTCCTATTTCAGGGTGGGCAGATGCCAATGGTTGGTTGTATGTGGCTTCGCCCCTGGATTTGTACTTGCATTAGAGAATAAAAATGTGTTATATATTTGTGTTATGATGGTGAAATTGGGAAAATTATGTGAATTGGAGGCCTAGTTGTGGCCATAATGTGGTTTAGAGAATGGTGTTGGATATATGAAGTGTTATTGTAATTGTTTGTTTTCAATTTATATTTCGACACTTTTACGAGGGAAGTGCTGCTAAAATTTTGCACAATAACTAAATTGATTCATGAATTAATAATTGTACTTAGGAAAACATTAACAACTTTTAAATCCTATTAATCTTTATTCCTTAATTTGGAAAAATTAGACTGTGTTCAGTACCATAAAAAATGGCGAAGTGATCGAGAATGATGTACAGAGGTATTAATGGATGTACAAGAGGTATGAGGTGAATGGGATACTTAGAAAAGAATTTTTGGTAGGATTGGAATTATTTGGCAGTTTGCAGTTGGCAATCCGAGTTATATGGATGGTAGCAAATTGAGGTGTCCATATAAAAATAAAAAGTGCAAAACAGAGCATTCTTTGATATTGATACAACCAAGCTTCATCTATGCAAGAATGGCTTTGTGGACAACTACTATGAATGGATATTTCATGGTGAAGATAGGATTTCTAGTGATTCGAGTCTGTTGTATAATGTATCATTTGTCGGTCAGCTTTCTGAATTTGAGTCAAATCCAACTTGGCAATATAATGAGATGGTTACCAATGCTGCTGGGCCAGAATTTCATTGGGAGAATATGGAGGAATTGCCTAACTTTGCGGCGCAAAAGTTGTTTGACATGTTAAGTGTCGCTAACACTGAAATGTGGCTTGGGTGCAGAACTCATTCACAACTATCTGTAGTGGCACAATTGTTACATATGAAGTCGAAGCACCGCTTCTTAGAAAGGTGTTTCAATGATTTTGTTCAGTTAATGAAAGAATTGTTGCCAGACGATAATTCTTTGGTGGATAGTTTTTACCATACAAAGAAATTAGTTCATGGTTTAGGACTACCTGTGGAAAAGATTGATTGTTGTCGGAATAACTATATGATATATTGGGGCATCGACTCTGACTTAAGAGTTTGTAAGTTCTATAATCTTGCTAGATTCCAAAGGCGGGGTCAGGGGATTAGGAGAGTACAAAGAGAGAAGGCCTTCAAGAAGATATATTACTTCCCTTTGATTTCTCGTCTTCAAAGGCTATACGCATCTAATGCAAGAGTTAAACACATGAGATCGCATGCTGAGCATCAATCTCAAGATGATGTAATGACTCATCCGTCAAACTCTAAAGCATGGGAACACTTTGATAATCAGCATCCTATATATGTTTGCTTCTGAGATCAGAAATGTGAGATTGGGGCTCTGTATGGATGGGTTTCAACTGTTTGGTCAATCAGGACAATAATATTCGCCATGGCCTATGATTGTAACACCCTATAATCAATGTGTATGAAAGAGGAGTACATGTTTTTCGCCATGGCCTATGATTGTAACACCCTATAATCAATGTGTATGAAAGAGGAGTACATGTTTTTGTCCATAATTGTACATGGCCCAACTAATCCAAAGTATAAAATAGATGTGTTTTTACAGTCTTTGGTTGTCGAATTGAAAGATTTAGGAGAGTTGAGGGTTGAAACATTCAATATTTCGGCAAATCAAAATTTCTTACTTCGAGCAGCTTTGCTTTGGACAATTAGTGATTTTCCCGCACTAGCAATGTTATCTAGCTGGAGTACTGCTAGCAAACTTGTTTGTCCCCATTACAAGGAGTATAATAGTGCTTTTACATTGAAAAATGGAGGAAATCAATGTTGGTTTGAGTGTCACCATAAATTTTTACCAGATGACCACCCCTAGAGGTGGAATCGATAATGGTTTAGAAAAAACATGATTGTTTATGATCTCCCACCACCTGTGAAGTCAGGAGCACAAATATTGGAGGAAATTGAAGATTTGGTTCTGATGAAAGTGACAGATTTAGGTGCAAAAGAGGTAAATGGTCGATTTGGGCGTAATAGTGGATGGAAAAAACGTAGTATCTTCTGAGATTTGCCATATTGCAGTACACTTCTTATCCATCACAACCTCGATGTGATGCAAACAGAAAAGAATGTATTCGAAAATATCTTCAACACTATGATAAACATTGAGGGGAATCAAAGGATAATGCCAAAGCTAGAGCGGATATGAAAGAAATCTGTCGTCACCCAAAACTTGAACAAAATGCAGTTACAGGGAAGCATCCAAAGGCTTGTTATGCATTAGATAAGTCACAAAAACAAGTATTGTGTGAGTGGGTTCGAACATTGAGATTTCCGGATGGATATATATCAAACATAGCATGATGTGTCGACATGAATAAATACAGATTGTTTGGCATGAAAAGCCATGATTGCCATGTTTTCATGCAAAGATTGATACTTGTAGCATTCTGGGAACTATTGCCAAGAAGAGTTTAGGAAGCAATAACAAAGTTGAGTATATTTTTCAAGGAATTGACCACAACTGTTATTCGGATAGATGATATGGACCGATTAGCACGAGAAATTCCGTAATCTTATGCAAATTGGAGCATATATTTCCACTTGGATTCTTTGATTCTATGGAGCATCTATCTATTCATCTGCTAATATGAATGTCAGATTGTAGGACCAGTACAATATAGATGACTGTATCCATTTGAAAAGTGAATCATTTTTATCATATTATAATGTCCTATAAAATGAATTATAAATTGAATTCTAGACACAATTAGATATATACCCTTTAAGTTGAGCAGTCATTATTAAAATTAGACTAATGTTTATGCAATTAGTAGACCGTTAATAATCTTTAATTAATTTGTTCCAAGCATCATTCGTGCCATATATCGGTGCCTTATTCAAAAACTATACCATCCATACGAAGCTTAAAAAATTCTTAAATGAACAAAAAAAAATCTTCATCTATAATTTATCTCCAAAAGTTAAAAAATAAAACTGGTATAGACTCCATTGATTAATCCATCTGAGGACCAAATCAAAAATAGAGTTCCACTTTATTCATTTTTCTTTCTAGTGAAAAATACCCTTATTTTCATAAAAAATTATTTTTTATTGATTTCATCCATAATATGAATTGAACTCATAAATGAATCTAGCAAGTCAATCCCAAAATTATATCTCCATTAATGAAGTCAGGAGTAAATCCGTTTGCCAAGCAAGTGGAAAGCCAATACCGATACCAACTAAACTGAGCTTTGAGATAAATTTTTTTTTTTTTTTTTTTTTAATACCGATTACCAACTAAACTGAGGCTTTGAGATAAATTTTTTTTTTTTTTTTTTGGAGAAAAAAAAAATACAAGGGGTTTTTTTTTTTTTTTTTTTTTTTTTTTGGAGAAAAAAAAAATACAAGGGTTTTTTTTTTTTTTTTGAGAATAGATAGATTGAGGGATTTGAATCCCTAAAATACAAGGTTTTTAATTGCATGAACTTTAACACATTCAATGAGTTCCAAAAATCCTTAATCTAAATATAAATAAAAACTTAATCTTGTTCTAGAGGTGCCTCCTGTCCAGTGACATTTAGTTTCGCTTTTCCAACTGGAGTAGCGTGTCACAATCAAGACCTGCGTGAACTACAAACCTAAGTAGGCTGCAACTGAACCAAGATCAGTTCAAGCAGCAATATCAAACACACCCTCAGCTCCTTTTGATAAGCCATAATAGAACACAGTGTAATCTAATTAAATAGGTTACCGCTTATTTAGTGGAGCCTTAGGACATTGAACTTCCAATAATACTTTTTCAAGATTGATGATTACAGGAATTAGACTCCTAAGCATCCATACTTAAATCAAGGTAACAGCATCCCAGGATCAATCTGATACTAGATCCTACAATTTTCAACTCATAGTTCATCTTTTACCAAAAATGGTACTGTACTACATTTTTAAAATGGCAATTTAACTATCAAGGAACATCTCATCTCGAAACCTTGGTATACAATGAGTAATCAAAAACAAAAAATTGAATTGCACTGACCACCAAAAAGAAACAAAGAAATGAACTAGGACACCATGAATACTAAAGGAGAGTCTGCAATAATTGGTCCCAATTCAGCACGCACAACCGCCTCTTTGCTCAGTTTCGGAAACTGCCTCAGGGATGCCTTGGAAGTATCTGCAGTTAAAATCAAGACAATGCAGTTCAAAAAGTTTGTTAAATATGCTTCACTGGTCAGTCATTTACATTTTAGAATCAAGTACAAGGATTCATGTGATACATATATAAAAACAACAAGAAAGAAAAGGGGATAAAACCAAAAGTTCATATCTATAAATCCAAAAAAACTGAGAGAATTCATATGTCGTTGAAACTTACATGCCATATCATATACCACAGTGAAACACATATTGCATTAATATGGTGTCAAGAATACAAAAGATACAAACATATCTATGATAAACAAACATAATCTCCAAACATCTCAAGCATGTACTGCCAATTAATAGCAAAAAATCAGCAATTGAAAGCATGTGTAAAAGAAATTCTACATTTTCTGAACTGAAAATATTAACTCAAATCTGCCCAACTGTGGTTACAAGTCCAAGACTTGTACTAAGTGATGGCCCCAATCAAACCACTTTTTGTATTGGTCCTTATTGTAATGGGTACTGAATAGTTTTAACTTTACATTTAGTCACTTAAAACGTTGTGATATCAGGAAAATCATAAGCAGAATTTTAAAAAGTGGTTTTGAGTTCCTAAAACTCAGAGATTGTAAGAGTTCTCTCTTAACGAGCTCTAGGAAATTACAGATTCCCTCTAAGTCTGACACCATAGAAAGAAGGACGAAAACTCCTTCTACAACACCCATTCTCACACCAGATCTCCCTAATTGAAAGACCCATAACTAGATCTAAAATTGGGACAATAACATTTGGTATCAGAGCCAAAAGTTATAGGTGACTATTCAATAACAACTTGATAGAATTCGGACATTATTCCTAGAGGAACAAGCTGCCAACAAAGTCCGACATGAAGAACTAGAATCGAAATTAGATGCCCTCACCCGTGTTTTTCTGATTCAAAACAAACATCAAGAATGGAAGGGAGCAGCCATAGTCAAGCACCAAAAGTGAAAGGTCCAGTAGATTCAGCCGGTCTAGAAACTCCTAGGGGCGCCACCGTCGTTTCAAAATTCCCAAAGTTGGATTTTCTTGGACCACCAATAAGGAGTGATACCTTATGAAAGTTGGCAAAATTGAAACAACCTAGAACTGCCGCAGAGCGAATAGTTTTCCAACGACCTTTTCAAGTTTTAATAGCTGTTTGTATAGCAGATAAAGCAGAGCAAAAGAAAGAAATAATCGAACAAAATCAATTGTTAGCACAACTAGAGAGTCTTGCTTGTAATTTGGCAGCCTCTAGACAGGAAGGGATTGGAGAAAAGCAATTTGAGAATGACGTAAAGGAAACATTTGAGGAGCTATTTGATCCAGGAATATTAATTAAATATAGAAGCACAATAAACAGCTCCTTATCTGTAGCAATAATGAAGGATGATAAGGAGTTTGTTTGCATCACATTTTTACAAGTTGAAGATTGCATGTCATCCATCCTTTGCGCTTGAGGACAAGCGCCTTTTCGAGGGGGAGTGTAATGTTATGGGCCCTTTTTCGAGGGGGAGTGGTAAATGTTATGGAGCTGCCTGTGTACTTAGCTTAGGTTATGCTGTATTTAGGGTTTTATTATTTTAGTTTATTCTTTAGTTATTCAGTTTTTATCATGTTATTACTGGGGTGGTTAAGCAAGTTATTTCCTGTAATGGGTAGTTATTGTAGTGGGTAGTGATTAGCTTTACATTTAGTTGTTTAAAAGGATGTGATATCAGGAATTGTAAGCAGAATTTTAAGAAAAAGTCTTGAGTTCCTAAAACTCAGAGATTGTAAGAGTTCTCGCGTAACAAGCTCTAGGAGATTGCAGATTCTCTCTAAGTCTGTTTAGCTAGAAGGAAGAAAACTCCTAAGACGCCCCATCTCAAACGGGATCCCCCTAATTCAAAGACCCATAACTAGGTCAAAATTGGGGACTATAACAATGTGGTATTTGTTCAATGAGGGATTCTTAACAGAACCCTAATATATTTACAATAGAACCCTAATGTATATGAACAAAAGGGCTAATATGCACAAAAAGGGACCAGCTTTCCGAGAAACTCATCCCTAAGTCGGTTAAGGCCGATAGGCCATGAGGGAGCTAAGCGCACACTTCCTCAATTCCTTGGGCCATCTAGTTGAGCCCACAATGGGAATAGGGTCTTCTACTTCTCTAATACACTCCCCAATGAAATGGGCCAAATTACCAATGGGCCCACTATGTGGCATTGGGCCAATGTCAACAGTTCAACAGTTTAGACTAGAATATGAACAAAAAAACCTGAAGGGCCTGATTGCTATATTATCATTTAGAACTATGACTATAGTTACTATTATTTATCAATTTTAACTTACATGTCCTGTTCATGCTCATTAGCTAGAGCAGTTTTGGCAATACACAAGAATGCAGGATCAACATTGTAATCTTCTTTTGCTGATGTCTCGTAGTAAGGGATGTTTCCTTTTGAAGCACACCAGTCCTTTGCTTTCTTTTCAGAAACCTGCATAGCCATAAATTAGAACAAGACTTAATGAACAAAGATAATTAGCTTAGTGTATATCCTTACCACTCGACTATTTCCACCATCAATATCAATCTTGTTTCCAAGCAATATAAATGGAAATGTCTTTGGATCTGGTGGGTTTGCCTGGAACCAACAGCAACAAAAACCACGTTTTACTGTTGAGATTATTCAAGAAAGAACAAAAATAACAAGAAAGACAAAGAAGATGACATATCCATGAAAAATGAATAAACCAAGTATACAGATGCAGACAGTCAACCTCGAAAGAGCAGGCTATTATACATGGCCATTAAATTATCAGAACCGGCTGAAACTAAATCCTAGTCAACACATAGCTTAAGCTGCCTATTCAATAGAGGAGAACTATGTAACCCAGAATTGTCATGCGCTCTGCTAATGATCCAAGCTAGCATTAAACATAATCTTGGACAAATAGTTGTTAAAGGCACAAGGCGCACTAAGGCGGTTCCTGGAGCCTAGGCGCAATGCAAGGCGAAGGCGCGCGTCTGAGCGAGGTGAGGCGCAAAAATAAAGAAAAAATTTGAAAAATATAAAATAATTCTAAAATTGAACAAAAAATTCATATTAATAATATAAAACATATAAATTCTTAATTCACACTATATAATACTTGGAATTTCTAAATATAATTGAAAGTAATGCATAATAAGATGTTAAGAATTGTAACCATAGCTTTAAATAAATAAAAATTTCAGCAGCCTTAAACTAAAAGTAATAACCATTGCCTCAATTCAGCAACACAAATAAGCAAAAAATTCGGCAGCACAACAGCTTATAGTTGAAGCTATTGGACTTGAAAGAGAAGGGAGTAAAAGCTGATTGTTGAATCAAATTAAGAGGGAAATTGAGAAAAAGTCAAGAGAATAGTTGAGAAACATATCTTTCCTTTATGTTAATTAATTGCTGAATTAGAGGAGAAGACTCTTTGTGAAGGCTTTAATTGATTTAAATCATCTAATTGGGGGCTTTCTTTGATTGTTGATGAACTGGTGTAGAGGAGTTTGATGTAGAGTGGATCTATGTTTTTTCTTCTGCAAATCTACCAATATCTTCTATTTCTCTTACTTTTCTTTTTATTAATAGAAGTCTATATAAACAGAACCACATATATTAAAAAGAACCCTAAAAAATCTGTTGAAAGACAAAAGGTGCGCTTTTTTTGTGCTTTGCGCCCTCGCCTAGGAAAGGGCTTTTCCCAGAGGCACGCACCTCAGTAAGGTCGCCTGCCTTTCAGCTCTTGAGGCTCCATGACCTGCGCCTTGAGTCAGGCGCGCGTTTCACAACTATGCTTGGACATCATATGGTCAGTGTCATCTCAAGTAAAGTATCTTTGTTCTATAAACTAAACACAATTCGGTTGATCTCTAAAGTCCAATATATGTACAGCTCGTATTCTCATGCAATCATTCCGTAGAAGCTACTTATCCTTTCCCAATACTTGCCAAAAATAACAAAAGTTGTTTTGACACATTAACCCTGTCTCATCATAATAATATGTATTTACAACTGTATGCTTTTCATAAATTAGCTGCTGTCAAGTGTACTTAAGAAAGTTTTCAAGAAGAACAAGGACAAACACCAAAAAGTTAAAATTAAACCAAGTTTCAATGACGATCATCCATCCCCTGCTTTGACACATTAACCCTGTCTCATCATAATAATATGTATTTACAACTGTATGCTTTTCATAAATTAGCTGCTGTCAAGTGTACTTAAGAAAGTTTTCAAGAAGAACAAGGACAAACACCAAAAAGTTAAAATTAAACCAAGTTTCAATGACGATCATCCATCCCCTGCTTGTTTATCCAAAAAAAGTTTCAATGACGATCATCCATCCCCTGCTTGTTTATCCCAAAAAAAAATTAAAAGGGAAAAAGAAAGACTTCATTGTTTTTTCCCTCTCCTGTTCCCTAACCTGTGGTCAAAAAGTTTTCAGTCAAAGTACCAGCAGGCCTATTCCAATCGATAAATATGGATACACATAATGCACGTGTACATTTAGAACTGCAGTAACTTGATGAAGTAACAATTTAGTCCTTATATAGATATTCCATCTATCAGATTAAAATGATATGAAAAGAAGATCAAGTTTTCCATGTCTGTCGAAATCTGAAAACTTTCAGATAAAGTAATCGGTTTCAGTTGTGTCATGTGTAACCTTACCTGTTCAGAGAACAAACTGCATTTGTATATCAATGTTTTGACACTAGGATTGATCCAAGAGTGTCACTCCAGCTATGACACCATCATATTCTACGATATTGCTCCAAAAAGATATAGCAGCCTCCAAATTGATCAGTAGAAGTTTCACTAGATTCAAACACAATGGTCCCAAATTCCATATAAACAAAACTGTTTCACCGCATCCTAGAGACCTCTATAATGTAGCCAACTACATGATTCAAATGCATACTTGAAAGGAAAAATCATCCCTCACTGAACCCAATAGCACTCTATATTGTTGCTAACCATACAATTCCAAAACACATGAAAGAAAGATAAAGTAGTTTAACATGAAACTCAAATTAAACCCAGCACCAGTCCCAAAAATCAAATGTTGCATTATAATATGACAGTTAAAGAACCATGCAAAAAAAACAGGGAAGTAAATTTCAATTTATTGCCTTCATACTCTACCTGTGACTCCAATTAACAAAAAACCAAAGGTCATCAATGGACTTAAAGTGGCCTGTGCCTAGTACTCTAGTTCTAGATGGCATTTTAACAATGCTAATGCTAACTTTGATTGAAAACCAAACCAAAATTGCTCCTAGGTTTATCTTTTCTTGGCTGCATAATAATGTAAGCAAGAATGTTTGATTGGAAACCAAATTAGTAATTTTGGTTAACAAATTTTCAAATCAAACTAAACTATTTTCTCAGAAAACAAACAAAATATTACAAATAGATTCAGAATCTAATTCGATTCACAACATCCATTCAGCTTACAAAAATGATATTCTATATAATATCAAACTAACTTATAGTTAAGAGTTAAGATTTGATTTAAGTATGGGTTAACAAGGGGCAACTAATAACTTTGGCATTTTATCATAAATTGGTAAATTGAAAATTCCTCACCCACCAAGTAAAACCAATGGTTTCTTGTTCACAACCAGATAAAGATAAACTTACATTAAATAGCATTACTTCATGGTATGCCTTCATCACACATATCCATTTAACAGGTTATTGTCTTTCACATTAATTCAATTCTTTCATAAGCTTGTTTGGTAGGACATTTAAACATGTGGAATCCATTTGCAAATGAATTTCCATTTTGCCATAATAAGTTTAAAATATAAAACTTAATTGAATTTCATATATATTGCATGTGAAATAAATTTATCATTCAATTTAATATGAGAGAGAGAGAGAGAGAGAGAGAGAGAGAGAGATAAAGAAATGGAGGAGCTAGAGGAGAGAAAAAGAGGAGAGAGAGGAAAATGGGCATTGTGGTCTAAAATTTTAGTTGCATATTGAAATTTTTTATGCAAATTGATTTAGTTATGTTTAATTACACAAAATTGAATTCGTCTAATTGAATTGCACATTTTTTAACATAACAAAAATTGGGAATTCAACTGAATTTCACAAAATTTATACTGAACGAGGGGACAAAGAAGAAAGAGTACCCTTTTCTATTATAGTAAGGTTGATTGTTTTTCACTTGTAGTAGGATTATTTCTGTTGTTTCTCATACAACGTAATGTACTGTCAGTTATGAGCCTGCATTTTATCTGAAGTCCATTTGACAAAAGGTATTAAAACTTCATGTCAAAAGTGAAGACTGAAAGAAAGTGCTAAGCTAAGAGCTACAATAGTAGGGAAGAACAAATAAATAAATATTCATGCTTGCCACTACCACCACCATGATTCACTAGTGATTCCCAACAACCATCACAAGCACAATTCTAATAAAACAAAACAGATCACAAAATGAAAATTTTCCATTATTTGATTTTGATGATATTGGTTTTTAAGCTCATACCAAACGTACTACCATCCTTTTTCACAAACACATGCTATACTTTAAAATTCAGTTAAGACAATTATATCCACAAACCAAAAACACACTCCTGTAAAATTTCAGCCCCATTTTTAACATACTAAATCAAAAATCAATTTCAAGAAGCACCAATCACAATTCTTGAAACAGTTCTTTTGGGATTAAGTGCAGGTTTGATAACATTGGTCTTTAAGCTCATACCAAACATAATTCACTACAAACTATGCCATCCTTCTTCACAAAATGCTATACTTTAAAATTTAGCTATTTACAATTATATCCACATACTCAAAAACATACTCCTGTAACATTTCAGCCCCATTTTAAACATATTAAATCAAATTATGTAATCAATTTCAAGAATCTCCAATAGCAATTCTTGAACAGTTTTTTGGAATTAAGTGCAGATTTGCGATGAATATCAAATTCATGTGAGGTTGACTCAGAGAAAATGTGATCCAAGTTTAATGGAACAAAACAATGGCATCAAGAATTTAAATTTATTTGCAGGAATTTCGACACTCTAATATTCTAATGAAGAATGGTTGACAAGTGCCAAGCCTCAAATTTTTGAACAATGTTCAAAAAAAGACATGATTTAAAAAAGAAACACTAAAACAGTTCTTTTGGGATTAAGTGCAGGTTTGATAACATTGGTCTTTAAGCTCATACCAAACATAATTCACTACAAACTATGCCATCCTTCTTCACAAAATGCTATACTTTAAAATTTAGCTATTTACAATTATATCCACATACTCAAAAACATACTCCTGTAACATTTCAGCCCCATTTTAAACATATTAAATCAAATTATGTAATCAATTTCAAGAATCTCCAATAGCAATTCTTGAACAGTTTTTTGGAATTAAGTGCAGATTTGCGATGAATATCAAATTCATGTGAGGTTGACTCAGAGAAAATGTGATCCAAGTTTAATGGAACAAAACAATGGCATCAAGAATTTAAATTTATTTGCAGGAATTTCGACACTCTAATATTCTAATGAAGAATGGTTGACAAGTGCCAAGCCTCAAATTTTTGAACAATGTTCAAAAAAAGACATGATTTAAAAAAGAAACACTAATTGCAACAACTCCTAGGATTACATATAGATGCGACCAGTCCCTAGCTTATGACAAAACCAAGAGTATATAGCAAGTTTTCCTTACTTCTCAGGGAAAGCTTTTTGTTTCCTTAAATGAAATCAAATGAACCAAGAATTGTTCAGTTTGGCTTACAATTCCAGTATCCAGCATGCCTCCATCATGAAATATTAATTACTTCTTAAAAATGAAGTCATATTCTAACATTTGCAAGAATGAGAGGAAATGACACAAAAACAAGCTCATACTGATGTCAACTTCAATAAGACTAAAGGCACAAACAAAATTTACGAAAGCAAATTAAAAAACAAGCTAGATCATAGGAAGAAACAATATATATGACTTTTCTAGTTTACTCTTTTAATATAACTTTGTCTGATAAAGCCCCCAATGCGATGGAAATTAAGTTCTCTAAGAGGGTCAAGATGATGGCTAACTTGCTAGCCAAAAATTTAGCAGAATATATAAGAGCTAAATGATTGAATCCAAGTCCATCAAAGTTATGAGTAAATAGTAAGGGCATAACAAAGCAGTCTCCAGTGTACAGAAACCAGAGCCCAAAGCTCAAATTCTCAGCATGTAGCCTCCACCACCATTTATGTAAGTGCTTTGTACATCATGATTTTAAATCATTGTGGAAAAATCATAGATAAGGAACACTATTAAAAACAAGCGAAGAAAAGCAACAAATAACCTGCTTAAGAAATTCCTCATGCCAATTTTCAAGAGCATCAAATGATCGCATCACATTAACATCATAAACTAGAACACAGCAATCTGCCCCTCTATAGAATGCAACTCCAAGACTCTGAAATCTTTCTTGCCCAGCTGTGTCCCAAATCTAAATAGGTGAAATTTCAGCAAAACACAAAACATATTTACAAAAACTCCAAAACCAAATTACATAAAACATAGAAGAACCACTTGAACTAGAAAACCTACTTGCAGGGTGACAAGCCTGTCATCAATTTGTAGTTCTTTGGTGACAAAATCAGCACCAATGGTTGCTTTGTATTGCTGACTGAACTTCTTATGTACATATCTATATAAGCAATTAAGGAGCGAAAGAAATGCTACAGCAAATTTTGTTCATAATAGCTATTTATTTTGGGGGGTGGGACTAAAGCATAAAATTATGTCGCATAAAAATTTTGCTTGAATTAATTGTGTTCTCCAAATTATCATTCATTCCAGCTAATTGATTACAAGAAAAGTAAAATACAGGATTTCCAATCCTAGCAAGAAAAGGAGGGAAACCGATAATTATAAATAAATGCGGAAAATAATTAACAAACAAAATATCCAGATTAACAACAAATCATTTTCAAAAATCAAAAGAAATACAAAAATTAAAGATTTTCGAGAAAAATGCATAAAGCAAATTAATTAAAAGAAACCACAGAACAAACTACTTGTCCCTGGAAAAGGATACTGATTCATCAAAGACGTCTTGCCAACCCTGACATTCATCAAAAAAATAAAAATAAACAAACAATTTAGGTTGTTGCAACAATTGCTTCTGCCGAGACAAATACACCGAAATGAAATGCGGGAAACAAAACCCTAGAAATCGTACCCGCTATCGCCGAGAACGATCACCTTCAGCAAGGTACGCCTACGCACTGACATGGCGCTATATTACTTCGAATTATGCAACAGATTGCCGACAATAGAGCTGTTCAATTCAAACTCAAAAATATATAAATTAAAAAAGAAAGAAGAAATAAAAGCTTTCTTTTTCAATTTCTTTCACTGTTCATAACTTTTTATGAATAAGAAACCACATGGAGAAAAACAGAGATGGAGAGGACAGAGAAGGAGAAAGAGAGAAAAAAAAAAAAAAAAAAAGAAATAAAAAAGCTTTCTTTTTTCAATTATCTTTCACTGTTCATAACTTTTTTATGAATAAATAAAACCACATGGAGAAAACAGAGATGGAAGAGGACAGAGAAGGAGAAAGAAGAGAAAAAAAAAAAAAAAAAGTGAGAGAGAAAAAAGGAAGGCGCCAATATCGAATCTGCCTTTTTTGTTTACTTTCCTTTTTTTAACGAACATAAATATTTTCAATTTGGAGTATTTTCAAAAAAAAAAAAAAAAAAGAGGAAGAAAAAAGGGGCGCCAATATCGATCTGCCTTTTTTGTTTACTTTCTTTTTTTTAACGAAAAAAATATTTTCAATTGGAGTTTTTCGTTTTTTCTAGCGTTTGCCGGCAAATTAATTAATTTACCTAATAATTAATTAAGTTGCCTCGAGCTCGTGCGTCTTGCAATTTTTTTAGGTAGGGACCACTGGTGATGACGTGTAATGGAGTGAGGCAAATGGTGGGCCCGTTGGTTGGTTAAGCACAAAGGATATATTCAGTAAAATTATCTGTTACGTGTTTTATGCCATATTCAGCAACAATGTTTAAAGTAACATTGCCATGTTTGACAGCAGTGTTTAAAGTAGTGTTTGGGTCAAAATTTTATCTTAATTAATTATAAAATTTGGTAATATAATATTTATCCTAGCGTTTAGAATTTGAGACATATTTCATGAAAAGCGTTTAAAATTTGAAACATGTTTCATAAAACATTATCTTTATTATTATTTAGTGTTTTATAATTTTTTTATGACACTTATACCTATCACTTATCTTTATCTTATTTCATGCTTTTATATCATTTTTTGTCATTTTATATTAAACAGCTAATCAAATAGTTATTTGTATCGAACACTTTTGTTCTAAACTGAACAACTAACTACTAACCGCTAACATATCTAACAGTTAACCACTAGTAACCACTAGTAAAACAGTCGACCGTTATTAAAACAACTAACAGCTATTAAAATAGCTAAAATTGTCTAACAGGCGCTTGGTAGAATTTAGTTATTTGAGTAATTTTTCATAAAATATTAAAAAGCTAAACATTACAAGAGTTGATCTTTGATAAGATATTATTTTAACCTCTAAAAACTTGTTCAAATGTTATATTATAGATAAATTGTAGTAGTGGTCACTTAAATTTACATTTAGTTTCATAAGGTCATAATTTTAATTTGTCACTTTTTAGTCACTAAACTTTGATGATTGTTTCAACAAGAGGTACTCACTGGAATACCATCATCGGAAATTCTAAATTGGAAATAAAAAAATTATTTTAAAAAATTCATGTTTCTCCTAATATATTAATTTGGAATCTACCTATTAATTTATTTAACAAATAGCGTCATTTACATTAAATAAGTTTAAAAAAATAAAAGAGAGAAAAATTTTTTCTCTATCATTTAGATTATTTAGTATTATTTCCTTTTCTTTTTTATACTCCTTTGTATTCATGATTTTATTTTGTGATATATGTAATTTTTAATGTCATATTAATATTTTGATTACCGGATTCTAATAAGTGATCTCCTGTTGAAAAAAAATTAAAGTGGAGTGACTAAAGAATGACAAATTGAAATTATGTGACCTAAATAAAACTAAGTGTAAAATTAGGTGACCATTTGTATAATTTACCCGCTATATTACCAAACACTATAAAAAAATAGCGTTTAAAAGTTACTCAAAAAGCTATTGCTGAGCACAACCAAATTAACAATGACTAGTTATAAATTTGGTATCTCAACTTATCAAAATTTTCTATTTTTGGTGTCTCGATAAAAAACAATTGCAAATAGGTATTTAAACCGTTGAAAAATTTTCAATCAAGTGTCTTCAGCTTACGTGGCTCGCTGGAATTACAAATAAGAAATGTGATGTTGTGCCACGATGGAATGTTTGTTGAGATATCAACTAATGATTTGTCAAATCAGTCTTAAGCAAATCAACAACTTTATCAAAGCAAATACGTTGTCTCTCACTCTATCCACGACTGTTGTCACTTCATCTTTCCTCCAAACCCTAAAACGCTTCATCAAGAAGTCATGGGAGATCCGATCCTCTTTAGATAGAATCTTATTTCTCTTTCTTTTTTTATTCAAATCTCAAATATGTCTCCTCCTACACGGAGAAGTACTAGTATGGCTTGTAAACATAGAATCCTAAGATATTGATTACTCTGGTTAAGCGTGGTTAGGCATGGCCATTATTCCGGAACCGCCTCTTTCGGTTCCAAAAAATTTGGAACCAGAACCGAACCAAAAATTTTCGGTTCCGATTCTGGTTTGGAATCGAACAGTTCCGGTTCCGGTTCCGGTTCCTTAACGGTTCCAAAACTGACGGTTCCGTACGGTTCTCCGACCAGTTTTCCGACGAATCGCATACTTTTAAATTTTAAATTTTGAAGACCGGTTTTCAAATTTTAAAAATTTGTGAAAATTATTTCTAAAAAAAATACACTTAAAAAATTAAACTGTATCGCGTTCTTCCGATCCAGTGTTCCGACGTAATCGCATACTTTTACCATTTTTAAATTTTGAAGACGGTTTTTCAAATTTTATAAAAAATTTGTGAAATTATTTCTAAAAAAAAAATACACTTAAATAATTAAAAATTTGTCTTTTAATTAAAGATTTTTTTTTTTGATAAGACTTGAAACTTATATTATTTTTTAAGACTTGAACTTAATTATTTTTTTTAAAAAAAGTCTTCAACTGAATTTATTTTTTGTTTAAAAAAGTTGGAACATAATTTTTTTTTTTAAAAAAAAAGGGCTTCAACTTAATTTAAAAAAAAAAAAAATTAAGTTGCCTACGTATCTTCTTGGGGTTTAGAGGAATCAAAGTCCACGTAGTTCTTACTTTCCTTGTACCAATTTCACCCCTTTTAGCTTATTCGCTATTTTCACCACTGGTTGATGTTCCTATTGAGGACCCATCATAAAGATCATATAAATCTTCATTTTCTTTTAGATTTTCTTGTGCTATTAATTCGGCCTTGCTCCAATCATCCACGCATGATTGTGCTTCTAGTGAATCGGGTGTCATACGAGATCTTGTTTCATCAAGTATGTTTCCTGCTTGACTAAAAGCTTGTTCAACCGCAATAGTGGAGACCGGAGCTGCTAAAACTTGTTTTGCAATTAAAGAAAGTATTAGAAAGATATTTGCGTGACGACTCCACCAATCTAAAATTGGAAAATTGGAAAATTATATCTGCATAATTATTACCCAAAACTCAAAAGAAGTGGTTAGAATAAATTATTCAAAATTCAGAAAAAATAACCGGGTTCCCTTTGTTCTTTTTTGTCTTTGTAGTAAAACCCGTCAGCAACACCAACACTACTTACCCTTTTGAGTTGGAAATTGTTCTGAATATTTTAAATTGAGAAGAATTAGAAGTAGATGAACTAGAAAATTTGAACAAAATTCATTATATAATTTCTATAATATTTTGTCTAACTTTCATGCAATACTAACATTTATATTAACACTATCATCTATATTAAGATTTTAATAGATTCATAATAAGTAGTCAAATATTCTATAAATTATCAATTTTATATCTATGATCAAATACAATAGCAACAGATAAAGGGTGGTTATTTTATATTTTTAAAAAAGATAACCATTTTTTTTTCATTGAAAAAAAACACAATCTTTTTAATATAAAATCATTTTCAAATTCTTTGAGTGTACTAACAATATTAATACACATAGGTTAAAAATAAATGAGAATGTGGGATAATAAAACCCCACTAAATTTATAGCGTAGCATTTTAAAATATCTAAAATTTTTGCACAAAATATCCCCAATTTGTGGATATAAATTAATTTCTTCAATATTATTAGTAACAAAAATGCCACAATAATTCTTTATAAGGAAAAAGAGGTCGTTTAATAATTCATAGGTTGAATCCAACGAGTTGGACATCCCTTGGAAAACGTTTTTGGTCTTTATTATTTTCCTTATAAAATTTAGCCCAACTTTTCATTACTTGGGATGTCCCCATAAATATAAAATTAAGCTTTTCTAATTGGAGAAATATAAGATTTCAGAATTTTTAAACCATCTTTACACATAAAAATTTAAACATGGCAAGCACATCTTATATGAAAAAATTTTTCACCAATATTTGGTTCACAAATATTTTTTAAGTTCAATAAATTGATTTTAGTATTAGCATTAAGCATTAATTTAAATGAAATTGAAAAGATTTTCTTGTCAACTTATTATTCATTTAAAATTGAACCAATTTATTCTATGAATATTAAATCTTGCAGTAGTTTTATCATTCAAAAGCACGAAATGCAAATAAATAATTCTTTTTTGAATTTTCCAATCATCATCAATCTAATGACATGTAATGCCCATATAAGAATACATTTGCCAATGATCACTCCAAATATCACAACAACTTGAAAAACGAATTTTCATTTGAGAAAATAAAAACTTTAACTCTTTTTTTCCTTTATTATATAAAGAAATAATAATTCGTTTTACAGTATTTCTTGGCACTCTTTTACCAGAAGGATTTAAAGCTTTTTGACAATAATTATTAAAACCTACTTTTTCACCAAAACTAAAAGATAAATGTTCCATAGAAATCAATTTTGCTAATTCTTCTTTCTTTTTGTGTTTTTTCAGAATATTGAAATAAAAGAAAGGTTTAGAAAGATGCGTACCCGGAAATTTTGTGTTTGAGACCAATCCAACCTCCTATTTTTGTTGGATGTTTGTCTCCAATGCTTTCCAAAATGATCCATAGCCGCCTGATTATTTTAAATTTATAAGATTTTCCACAATAATTGCAAATTAACATCGAAACATTTTGTCACCTTTGAATTTTTCGTGAAAATTGAATGGCCGAATTATGTGGAACTCTGTTCTTGCTTCTTCGAAGAAGTTGTGTACCTTTCTTCTTGCTCTTCCTCTCCTCTTCCTTTTGTTGTAATTGCTCATTATTTTAAATTTCAAGATTCTTGAGTTGAAAATTT